CTCATCTTTGATTTATGGTCATCGTCATTCATTTGTATGATTGTAAAAAAGATTAACTAGTTCCCTAAATTCAAGTTATTTCACTATGAAGTGCTGTGTTTGACGATCTAAAAATCTAACTTTTGTTTCTAAAATGGCGGGAAACTCAAATACTTTGAGAATCATGAGAGTAACAACTTAGTAATGTTTTTCAAAAATTGTTTAAAATAGTTTCTTTAGTCATGAAGATACCAGATATTTGAATGACAAAACAATGTTTTCAAACTATACACGGGTCATTAATGAATAATCATAAATCAGTCAACTGGTATTCGAGCGATCAAACATTACATTTTTACGAATTAGTCAGTAGAAATAATCCCGGGGGATACTGGTAAACTTTTTGTACAAGGGGTGCTGCTGAGATTCAAAACAAGACCTAGTTAGTTTTTTTTCGTTCAAATGTGACTCAATGTTTTTTTTGTAAATGGGACCCATATCTAGGGATTTTTCGGTGTAAAAGTGATCCACTTTAGTGGCACGTCCCTGCCAGTATATCGGAGTACCCCCCCCCCCCCTGGTAAGTACCTACTGACATACGAGCAGCCATGTTGGAAATCCATTCTCATGCAGAGATCCTATAAGGCATTGGCCTATAACATTTGAACCATATCCATGAAGAGTATTTGAATTATTGTCCAGACAGAAAAATGGCTTTTCTGTAATCCCCTATTCAAACTTCCCTCAGTTAGAAAATAAGCTGCCTACCAACAATCATTATTTTCCTTATAAATAGAAAAACTAAGAATTAATGAATATCATTATAATCTTTATTTTATAAAATAGACATCTAAGTTACAGCCAAAACTTTATTCAGGGTACTGAACTAAAAGTGTAAATATTTGTCTATCAGTATTTTCTTTGTAAGAACTTTCTATATTGAAAATCCAGGAATGAATTGGATGCCTGATAGATAAACATGAATACTTTTTGAAACCCTTTACAGTCAATTAAAATCTAGCATTCAGACGATTCTTTGTACAAATTACATTTACATGCTGGAGAATGGAGACATTACAAATGTATCCATTTCAAAACATTTTAACACTTCACATTCATGCAATTAACACATGGCCACATCGTGTCTTTACACATGGCCACACCGTGTCTTTACACATGGTCACATTGTGTCATAACACTTGGCCACATTGTGTCTTTGCACATGGGCACATCGTGTCTTAACACTTGGCCACATCGTGTCTTAACATATGGCCACATCATGTCTTAACACTTGGCCACATTGTGTCTTAACATATGGCTACATCATGTCTTAACACTTGGTCACATTGTCTCTTGACACAAGGCCATATTATATTTTAACACAGGACCATAGCATGTCTTAACACAGGGTCACATTGTGTCTTAATGAACAGCCACACCATGTCTTAACAAACAGCCACATTGTGTCTTAACACATGGCCACATCGTGTCTTAACACATGGCCACATTGTGTCTTAACACATGGCCACATCGTGCATGGCCACATCGTGTCTTAACACATGGCCGCACTGTGTATGAGAAGCATCTAAAAAACCAATGAGACACATTCAGGGTCCAGGATGGACAGTGATCCTGCGAGTAATTTATATTGACTTCTGCAACAATAATGTATGGCAGATTAATCAAAGGACAAAAAAACGTGATCCTACATCAAAATCTTTCATCAAACAGAAAGATTATGATCTCTGAAAATCCTAGGATATATTTATATGGTTATAAAGCCATCTGTAGATTACCATTTTGAGTCAATTCACTGCCCGCAAAGATCATAAATCTATATAAATGTCAAAAATTGACTAGCAAATAAGTTGCATCTATCGAGACACTTTAAGCCTATTCAGGGCCACAGTACACAATACTGTTGTGGTAATACTAATTACAATCCACCCTATAAGAACTTGCAAAAAGATCAAATCGCTTTAATTATATTAAAATCAATTCAAAATGTACTCGCATTTTTTTTTCTTTATTTTCAAATCACCAGTTCTGAATTGTGTTGTATCAGTATTCTGGTTTAACACCACCCTCTCCCCTAGCTAACAACATTTGAAAATTTCGATTTTGCTATTTAATTTAGATTTCAACATTCTTCATAGACAAAATCTTTTTTACCCCCCCACACTTCATTCTTCCAGAATTGTCGACAATTATTGGACCATAATTTGAAGTAGTTATAGGGCTTCATGTTATTACCAGCAGTGAATTTCTTGTATTTACTGTACTCATATCATACAATAACACAGGCACCATCTGAACCCTATTTTAATGTTAGCTTGCTTGTGGTATAGCCAGGACCGTAGCCAGGGGGTCTGGGAGCTCGAACCCCCCCCCCATACCACCATTTTTTTTAAATTTTGCAGTTGGTCGTGAGCATTCAAGTGATTATGGACTAAAATTGTCAAACTTGAGCCTCCTGGACTTTTTAAAAACTGACCCTCCCCTTTAGCAAAAGCTGGCTTTGGGCTTCATAGCTAATAAGAGCTTCACTTATATGGGTGTGAGGCCCTTCATCGAGCAGATGGTGCAAGCAAACTAACAATATAATGGGGTCTGGATACTGTGAATAAGAATATGGGCAGAAACCTCTGTTATACAATAAATACTTTTCTCTCCGAATATAATACTTCAAAGCTCATGTTCTTACATTTCTAAACATTTTCTCCTGTGAATCTGTGATTTTGGCAGACAATGCCCTACAAGCTTGGACTATCTAAACTTTCCTCATCCCATTTGGTTTGAGTGCCTAAGAAATTACCTACACTGCCTAATAACTATCACAGAAGCATCTGATTTTAATTCTTGAATTCTTTGTCTATCAAAATACAGGCTTACAGAATTCCACCACATACTGGGCACATATAGCCCAAGACTTTACAACATTTTTGTCTCACTGTTTTGCCAGACCTTCTCTTGAATAAAAAGGGCTGGCGAGTCAACATTCCTTATTCCTATTTCTAACAATAAAAATGTATTTCTTATAATACAGAGTGACCATAAAGTCTATTTACGCTTTACACAGACTTTGCAGGCCCGTAGCCAGAGGGGTTTGCAGGGTTCAGGCGAACCCCCCTGGCCAAAAATTCTTTCAAAATCATGCAGTTTTTCACCATTTTGAGCCTTATCAAGTAATTTAGCCATATTTGGGCCAAAATTGTCAAATGTGAACCCCCCCTGGAAATTTTTGAAAACTGAACCCCCCTTGGCAAATCCTGGCTACGGGCCTGCTTTGCATTGTAAAGAGACTTTATGGACATCCTGTTTGTCTGTGTATGGACGGTACGTGTATAAGTGTAAATATTACGAGTATTTTATTTTAAATTATCACCAATGGGAACAAAATTACCACAGGTTTGAGACTTCTTTTAGAGGTTTAGGTGTTTCAGATTTCACACAGTTTGACTTATAAAGATCTCTATTACATTCCAAAATAGATAAACATTTTATATTTTAACATCAGTGAATAGTCATTAGTTTGTACACCACATAATATATTACTATATACAATTTAAGACTCAACATCATAAGTTATTTTATACATAATGTACATGTAAGTCATATACATATCAGAATTCATATTCATCTCTATTTAATTTACAGAGCATTCTTATTTTCATAAATTCGCCAATTGTAAAACTTCATTTTCTTCCAAATATTGTTAATATATTAATACTATTTATACTCATTAATTTCATTTTTAAGCACAACAACCTTTTTGGCAATATTTACTTTAAATAAAACCTAGTCATTGTTGTTTATCAAAATTTTGCAATATGTTAATATTTTGTACTGTTTAGCAAAAACTGCCAAAAAATCAGTACTTAACTGAATTAGAACCATCACTCTATAATATTTTTTAAATGTTCCATGCATATAGAGTTTTTCAAAACAAAATGTTTTTAATCAAACCATCTTATTAATTGTTAAAATGAACAATTATCATTACAAATCCAGATCTAGAATGACCATCATTATTTCCTAAGACCCTGGACCCCCCTCCCATATATACACTTTAACAATATTGTAAAGTAGATAGGGGGGGGGGGGGTTGACCAGAGTCTCAAAGCAAGGCTAATCGTTTCTATAAATACATCCAAATAGCCAATACTATAGTAATCAACAGCAGACATGAGAAAAATTAAAATTTCTCAATTGAGCACCAAAATTATGAAAAATGATACATGCAAGGAGGACACATACACTAAAGAGGATGCGAAATGATAAAACATACAGAATTTGTGATCACAGGTAATAAACAGATCTCATCATACCTTGTGCATTTAGGATACACACTGAGCAAACCATATCACAAAGCTTGCTAATCATATAGCCCCTTGCCTTATGCCTTGGTCACATTTGCTCCGATCCATCGGCCGGCGCCCACCCGATTGAGTGTTTTGTTCAATACTGTATTCAATTTTGGACAAAAAAATCAATCGGTCGGGCGCCATGGAGAAAATCGGAGCAAATGTGACCAAGGCATTAGCTAGGATAGTGCCCAGCAAAATTGTGGCATCATAAGGTCTGGCTAGTTCCAGCCGAATATGTACAGTACTTAAGTAATTATGGTCATGTGATTAACATACATCATCCTTAAAGTAAGCCATTCATAAAGAGTCAAACAGGGACATAAACTACTTCAATACTTATTTTTGTACTTTACTTTTTAAAGTATCTTTTGTATAACACTTTAAATTCCATTCATGTATAATTAGGAATGTTGTTTTCTGACTTGAACATAGTATAGGCTAAGTGATTGTCTCAAATGATTAAGTAAACAGTGACCTACCCTAGTAGAGATTCACTCCGATTAGTCTGATGATTTTAGTTATGAGCTTGAACTCTGAAGTAATTAAAATGCCATCTAGAATGTTGAAATGGTTGGGCTCTAAATAAATTATTTTGCTAATTAACACTTTAATTAATAGGAGAGTTGATAATGACCAGACTTCAGATGAATACTCCTTTGAAAGCTGTAAAAGGAATTGAAAATTGAAGATGTTAGTGAAATAAATAAATGTGTGTTACGTTGGAAATCCTATATGAAACCAGCTTAATTTGAAAACTTCATGGAGGATTTTTATGCTTATTAGTCAAAATTCTTTTTTCAATGTTTCATTTGATCATATTTCTTGAACTATTTTCCTGAATTTGTTCCTGAATTCGCAATTTATATATACATGTACTAGTTTACACCAAAAAGTTGTCTATCATGTAAATGTCAACACTGTTATATGTATACTCTTCATTCTGATAAGTCATTTGGAGAACTCAGTCAATATCCAGTCAAGGTATACAATTTATCTAGTCCACCTCTAACTCATTTGTAGTCCTGTACTAAACTGGATTCAATAACTTTTAAAGGCTCTAAGAACAGAGCTAAAGGTCAAAGTGACACCGTAACTTCGGGTCAATTTGACACATGAACTCGAGGTCAATGTGACATCTGAACCAAAGATCAATGTGACATCTGAACTCAAGGTCAAAGAATCATGTGAACTCAAGGTCACTCTGCCATCTTAGCTGACATCAATACTAACAGAATGAGCGTATGAATGTTTGATAACTATATAATATATGCCCACTTGTATATCACTGTCCTCAAGTTTACTGCAGCCGATTCTACACAGGATTGTTGATTGATATAAGTACCCACTTTTCCTGTTTTATCAGCCATCTATTTATTTCGAAATATCTGATTCTGTCTCATTCCAAATCCAATCTATTGTGGCTTTCAAGTGGTATCCATTGTATAATCCAATATTAAACATGACGACAGTGATATTCTAGCATATGATAAGATCCTATGTGTGGCCAGTACTAGCTTGTGCTAGTACCTGTGGCCTGATCGTCTTTGCCCTGGGAGTCCCCTGCTGAATCTAGCCCTGAGTCTGATTTCTCATCAGACTTATCCTCACCTTCTGTCTCGAGGTCAAAATTCTGAAAATATAGACATCATTTAGTAAAAATTCTAAAATCATACATGTTTGGGTCAAAATTCTGAAAATATACAAGTAGGGTCAGAATTCTGAATTATTTGGTCAATATTAGAATCACAACTTACGATGACCTTTGATAACATCTACCCAAAAAACAGAAAATAAATTTTCCTTGAATTTACAAAGAAGGCCGTAAGAGAGATCTAAAATGGCCACCAAAGCTTGGACTTCAAAGCATTATGAAACAAGAAATAATGAATAATGAATGATCAACTATGCTATTTCAATCCTGGATAGTGACAAACCTCTCCAGGTCACCAGTTGAAGGATCTGCCTACCATTGTGACTTTATTGTGTTAAAGTAACTCATTAATCTGGGTAGATAGATTGTGTCAGGCACTATTCTGTGCATCATACAAAACACTCTACATCAAATATCATTTATCATAATTGTTATTTCTGCAGTTATTCATAGATTTCAATATTTTTGTGTACCATCTCTCTCCAATATTTTGATATCCACATTATTCCTTTTATACATAACTGCATTTTAAATCTAAAATATCTTCATCATTTTTTTACGATTCGTGGATCTTTCTTTTAGTAAAGACTACATTAGTTGATTAATTGTAAATATTGCTTGCAATTTTGTCATGACAACCTGAGTATGACAGATTTAAGCTTAATATAGAGAAACAAGCTATCACCTAATGTAACTTATGTAATTATACACATTAATCCACCTTGAACATGAGCAAGTGTCATTCTATGTCAATTTACCCATGACTCTCTAAAATGGCTCTCCAACATGCTCTACTAATTGTAAATCACTCGATACAGGGTACTCTAGGCTTTTAGATGAAGGGAAAGCAACTCACTTTAATTTGTTTCACCTCTACTGACAATAGCTTACTTGAATAGCTAAAATGACATTTGCTTCACTCAAATAGCTAAAATGACATTTGCCTCACTCAAAGAGCTAAAATAACATTTGCCTCACTCAGAGCTAAAATGACATTTGCCTCACTCAAAGAGCTAAAATGACATTTGCCTCACTCAAATAGGTAAAATGACATTTGCCTCACTCAAATAGCTAAAATGAAATTTGCTTCACTCAAAGAGCTAAAATAACATTTGCTTCACTCAAAGAGCTGAAATAACATTTGCCTCACTCAAAGAGCTAAAATGACATTTGCCTCACTCAAATAGCTAAAATGAAATTTGCTTCACTCAAATAGCTAAAATAACATTTGCCTCACTCAAATAGCTAAAATGAAATTTGCTTCACTCAAATAGCTAAAATGACATTTGCCTCACTCAAATAGCCAAAATAACATTTGCCTCACTCAAAGAGCTAAAATAACATTTGCTTCACTCAAAGAGCTAAAATGACATTTGCCTCACTCAAATAGCTAAAATGAAATTTGCTTCACTCAAAGAGCTAAAATAACATTTGCTTCACTCAAAGAGCTAAAATAACATTTGCCTCACTCAAAGAGCTAAAATGACATTTGCCTCACTCAAATAGGTAAAATGACATTTGCCTCACTCAAAGAGCTAAAATGACATTTGCCTCACTCAAATAGGTAAAATGACATTTGCCTCGCTCAAAGAGCTAAAATGACATCTGCCTCACTCAAAGAGCTAAAATGACATTTGCCTCACTCAAAGAGCTAAAATGACATTTGCTTCACTCAAATAGCTAAAATGACATTTGCCTCACTCAAATAGCTAAAATGACATTTGCCCCACTCAAAGAGCTAAAATGACATTTGCCTAACCCTTAATCTTTAAAAGTAGCACTAGAACTAGGATGAATCAACCTTACTCTTTAAAAATACTGGTGACTCAATGAAGGTAAAATTTCAAATGATGCAATTGGCCTATGGACGTTACATAACTATGCACGCACACTGTATTTTCACACCATGAAATACAGCGTCTGCAATTACATTCTTGACGTCACTGTATTATACACTTTGACATCTGAGTAATCAAAATTGGCACCTCATGAAATACAGATTTCTTATAACATAATATCTACTTTACTATACTTGACTGGAATCATTTAATAATATATCTTCTAGTAACTCTGTGTTCTTGTGTATATCTCACCTCTAACTCTCGCATTATTTCATCCATGAAATCTGTTGAGTTATTTTTGTATGCTACAGCGGCCTTAATTGCATCCCGGAAACACTGAAAGTAAGAAGATAAGGTAATTTTAATGAAGGCAGATCACACATGCATCACTGTAGTAACACTGAATATGTTACATGCATCACCACAGTAAATGGCTTTTATCATGATTTCACCATTAGTATTTCAGCAGTTTTAAATAATGATATAACAAGGCATTAACATAAAATGCTACTACAAATGGTAACTTTACACAAATGTAACAAAAAATGTAACAAATGTTACAGAAATTGAACTCAAACTGCTGATCTCCAAACGCCAGTCACAAAATAGGGGCTGTAACAATATGTCAACAATTTTGGTGATGACATAATAATGATACAGTTGCATTGTCAATTAAAGTGTATTCTGAATCCCACAAGTAAGGCACTATATCTTCAAGTATTACAGATTATATCAAAGAAGTTAATGATTCTAAGATCTTAATAATCTCAACAGAAGCTTTTATGGAAGTTTCAATGTAAAATGAACAATTGTTACTTCAAAGTAATAGAATGCAACAATGTGACTATCTGATGACATATTCTTGGAGAATAGAATCATTTCTAGTTTTATTAATAATCTTTGTGAGATTATGAGAACCCTATCTCTTGTTTCTCATGTCAGTGTACTTACAATACTAAGAGAAATCATTATTAACCAAAGGTGTAATTTACCATAAATCGTCAAGGATTATATATTTCAAATACATCAAAAAGAGCTTTTCCAGTAAATTAGATCTCAAGCTTATTCTCTCTGAGTCTCTTAACGAGTATTGAATAAGCATTATATAGGAATAGATCTTGCGTGTGTTAATAAAAAAAGTCATTTAATCATGTATTTTTTTCATCAAGTTCTTACTCAAAAAGCTCCTTAAAGTGTTGTACTTTACTACTTTAGATTGTACTACTAATGCTTAATACTAATGGGCCGTATATGTCACGCAGATCTGCTGAAAAACTGGTCATTAAATTATCTAAACATTAATCAAATCTTACGGATATTATATATTGATAAAAAGATTAATCATAACTAGAACAGGAAGGATAATAAGGGAAAACTTTTATACCATAATTCTGGAAATGAATTATGGGATATGCTGATTTGTGATTGGCTGAAAGTAGTCACATGGTTTCTTTACATAATGAATGATTGATACTTATAAACATCATTTTAATAATATGACAACATACTTGATATTCAAAGTCATCAAAGTTGTGATTAAATGAAAGGTTTAGAAAAGCAGTTTCAAGTCAGGCCCGTAGCCAGGATTTGCCACTTTTTGAAAAATTTCAGGGGGGTTCACTTGCGACAATTTTGGTTTAAAAATGGCCAAATCACTTAAAAAGTGCTCAGAATGGTGAAAAACCGCATTATTTAGAACGATTTTTTGTCAATGGGAGTTTGCTCAAACCCATCAACCCCCCCCCCTGCCTACGGGCCTGCAAGTACATGTAGTTTATTGGAAGTATAATACCATTGGAAGCAGTCTCGGTTTCAATTGAGTCTCAGTTTTCAATGTAGTAAAGTAAACCATACAGTTACAATAAAGAAAAAGAAACATACTCACTTTTGACTATGCAAAACTTTACCTTGATGATAAACAAATCTTCATTTTTGACTGCATTAATACTATACACACTTTGACTTCATAACTTCATGACTTCTTTGGCTAAATCATTACTTACTTTGACTACATTAAACTCACGTTCACTACACCAAACTCACTTTGACTACAGAAAACCTCTCTTCGAATTCATCAATACTCATTTTAACAACACAAAAACTCACCGTGACAACAAAACTCACTCCAACTACATCAATACTCACTTTGACTACATTGGTTCCATCACTAGCTGATACAAAGTAGAATGGCATGTTGTGCTTCTTTGGAAAACCGAAGGCCTTTTTTGTTATACTATAATCCACTAAAAAATAAAAATGTATATATTTACAAATTCATATGCTATTAGAAAGATAATCCTAAGATACATTTTTAAAGTCCAGTCTAAAACAGGATTTAATGCTTTCTCATAGGATTTTCCTATTGTTCAAATGTACAGAGTATTGTCTTAGAAATACATAATATAACTAGAAAAATATATAATCAATTAATGATTTAGACGCAACAGATTTGATCTATCTCTCTCTGCATCTTATCATTCATTCTAATGCCCCCCCCCCCATTCACCAAGGCTCAACTTTCCCTCCACCGTACCCGCTCTCTATCCCCAAATATCCCACATACTACATGTAATTATCTCTACATACCATCTATCTTGTTACCAGCACAAAGACAGGGGATTTCAGGTCTATATTGTCGTAATTCTTTAAACCAATTTGGTAAATTTTTGTATGTGATTTTCCTAGTTGTGTCGAAGACCTGAAATGCAAAAATTGATGCACTGTTTATGATTCAATGTAATTTTTCAATAAATTTACAGGCACGTCCTCCAATCATAAAATGAGATATAAAAAAATCCTTGCTACTGGGACAAGTTGGGTGTTCAGTCACATTGAGAAGTGTTCACATTTTCACATGTAGAAGTATTCACATTGAGAGGTCATGTTCACGATGAAAACTTCTGATGACCCGTAGGTCAATACTGGTCCTAAAAAGTTGAGGTATTGATGTATTGTTATTAGGGGTCCACATGTTTGTACATGTGTTTGCAAATCAGACGTGATTACCCGCTGAATTTAAGCATATCACTAAGCGGAGGAAAAGAAACTAACAAGGATTCCCTCAGTAACGGCGAGTGAAGTGGAAATGCAAATCAAACAATATCCACGTAAGAAACTTAACTCATGGGAAATCATGGATAGCACCAGAATGAATGAAACAAACAACAGGCTAGTATTTTACGATGACCTGGTATGCCATTATGGTAAGCCACTTCCACTTTCTTCTTCCTCTTCTCAGCAGCAATAGACAAGAGAGTGCATACAAGACATTAACATGCAAAATTTCACCACCTGCTATTTGTTACAGGTGTCAAAGACCACTGCCAAACACCATCCACCAAAGTTTGGAGACAATAACAATATGCCAACATTAGTGGAAGTGACATAATAATGTATTCTATTATGAGGAAATACTTTGTAAGGTTCAAGTCAATGACACACTCAGGCAAGGTTTTATTGTAAATCAATGGTTTATGGGGTATTGTTATTTCAGAGGATGTCCCTTGTGACAATGTGACATATTCATATTATTGTTTACTATGAGGGCAATAATTAAAGGGTCCTTAACAGGTCTTATATTATTTCAATATAATACAATTACAGACATATCTATTTTTGAAGGTGTCAGTATTCAAGTAAACAGAGAGAATCATTATACTGTATTACAGAAAATACATTCCAAATAGAAAGGTTGCCCCATTGATCTTCACTCAATGAAGATTGGGAATCTGAATAAAAACAAATGAAATGTTTTTCCGACAAAATAAGATGAATACCTTCCAAGTAATGTAATAAAACACTGTTATTGATGTTTCATTTTCTGATTTAAAAAAATACAACAACAATAAAAGGTTAATCAAAAAAGGCTATGGGTGAGAGAGTTGAGAATTTCAAACATTACTGTTGTAAAAATAAAACAAGGATTAGTCAATATTACTTTATGAGATCCATTCAGACTAACTCTTATCCCTTTTGACTTTTGTTTAATCCCTAGATTATTTGCTAAAATATCAATTCAGTTATAAATTCTTCAATGTGAAGGTTACGAATGTAACATTTCAATTTCCAAAAGCAGTGTGAAAATTAGGGCAGCTTTTGGAGCCGACTGTTAGCAGTTAAACCTATTATTGTTGCAAGTACATATGTCACGATTTTCTTGTAGTACAGGATACAGGTTTTCATTTTCTTTACTGTAATTCATAGACTGAGATCTAATGCACTTCGCCTACCTTAACAAAGCAACCACACACATCTAGCAATATCTAACAAAGTCACAAGTGGGAAACCTACAAAATGTCTAATTTAAAGACTATCATTTACGAAGCCACAGCTCTAACAAATCTCAAAGATGTAATTATAGACATAGGAAAACTACCTCATTACAATGATTACACAGCAGTAATCTGAGAATCAACTTCATTGAAGCATCCTTTGCATTGGGGACAAACATTTTGATTGATTATAACATAAAAAGAAGCATACCATGTATATTTAGTGCTATATTGTTTGATGGACAACCACCATCATAGTAAATCTTGGACACCTAACAATGGTATGAGACATCGGGTTTAATCTCTTTGTTAAGAAGCATTTTGACAAAAAGCTTCATAATGAAAGGTTTTTGAGCTCAGTGATCTCCCCAGTATTTTTTCTCAGGTGGGTGCAAAATTCTCATTTTTACAATTTAGACCAAAATTGGTCAAATTATGCCACCTTTTCATGATTTTCTCATTTCTAAATGGGTGCAAATGGATTTTCAGGTGGGTGCAAGCCTAATTTCCAAAATCTCAGGTGGGTGCTGCGCCCACTTGCTTTAATGCTGGGGAGATCACTGGACCTGTTACAAAAGTACAAAATCCAGTTATTAAGCTTTTTTCCAAAATACATCCTAACAAAACAATTTAACCATGCTGTAAAACAGGTACCAATAAGAATTCTTTGAATGTACAGTCAAGAAATGGTACAGTATACGAACACCTTTCTCAGCTAAAGTGAATACTATGAATATATGAATACTTTTTGGATCAATTTTTATCAGGTAATAAACGATGTCTGTAAAATTCATTGTTGGAGTGCTTTTCCATGAATGTTTTCCAAGCTTGGTTCAATGTTCTCCTAACATTAAACTATGAAATGACCAACATATCATCATGATTTTTCATTTTCAAAACTGGGTACAAATAGATTTTCAACTGGGTGCAAATAGCTTTTAATCTTCTCAAATGGGTAGAGTAAAGTTGCCTTCATGCTGGGGAGATCACTTATGTATAGAAATAAGCGGTTTTAATATTCTGTCATGATATAACATGCTTCATGTCTATGGTTAGAATAACAAGCTGTTAATAAGGTGTCATTATTGCATATTGCATTTAATGAAATGTAATCTCTGATAGGATTCTTGTATGAGTACCTGTGTAACAAACTGTACCTCTTAATTTGGTGACCATCTTAATTTGGCGGATCCTCCAAATTGTTGAAGTCTGGCAAATTCCCAGCAAATCCACCAAAATAAGTTGCACCAAATTAAGTAGAAATACAGTAGTCCACTCTTGATTTCTTTATGCAAGAAACACTCCCGACAAGAGATATAAAATCAAATGTACATGAAAGTCAACATATGCCCGCCCTACATTAATACATTACACTGAAGAAAGTTGCATTCAATATTCTTATTTTTCTCAAGACTTGTTCATTTCACAGAAAGGTCCTTATATCAAGTGTATAATGCATTTGCTAGATCTTCATGATTAATGATCAATTGGTTAGGAATGTTTGTCCAATGTCTTGTTCATATAGTTTCAATAAAATACTATGTGATCTATGAGAGTTTTACTTAATAACATTCTGCGCTGTGCAAATCAATGGTAAAAATGAGAACCTCTATGTCCTATCTAAGCAATCAACAATAACAAAATTTAAACATTATATGTCCACAATCTTGAAACAAACGTATGATATTCTATTTTAATCCCATCCTTAAAATAGGCTTTAACAAATTTCTTCCAATCCTTGAATACAGAGCATCCAAAGTAAAAGATGATGCTTATGTACAGTAAAACCTGTTCATAGTGAACACTGATGGACCCATAAAAAAGTGTTCACTGTAAGTAGTTGTTCACTATAGAGGGAGGAGGGTTCTATAGGAGACAATTGTCTAAGTGTCTTAAACTAAAGTGGTGTTCACTAAACATAGGTGTTCACTAGAGAGAGGTGTTCACTTAGAGGGGTTTTACTGTACTTATTAATATACGAAGGCTCTCACTCTTATACAGGGGCATCCTGAATACAGTGACACTTACTAGAGGGGTGCTTGCAAATACACGAGGGCACTAACTAATTTACAGGAGTACTAATTTATACAGATGGGTGGTACTAACTAATAAATAGAGGCACTTACTAATATACAGGCATGAGCTTGGTGATAATATGATGGATGCATACTGCTAAATCTTTCTTGTCCAGCAGTGTCCCAGAAATCTAAAAAATTAAAGAGAAAATATGTATGTATGATTTGTATTTCTGAGTATTCTTTAAGTATGAAATATCTCTCGCCACTAATTTTACAAAATTAACAAGACACACAGTGATAAATATCGCACTTTGAAGAGCAACCTGGCCACCATGCAATTTACCCAGCATGGCCAAAACCTAATCAGACCTTGGCACTAGTCTGCTCTTGCATCTGTTAACATTTCAAGTTGACAAGGTTAGCGGTTTTCCTGCAATTTTGATGACAAGAATTTATTTGTAGTCTTGAACTTTGGGAAAATTTAGATAACATTGTTTGTGACCTAATTTGATGACCTTCGACCTTGAAAATTTCACTTTTTCAGACCTCAGTAGGTGTTTTGTAATTAAGCTGACCTAAATTTAAATCCAAAATATCAATTTAGAAAATCAAATTTTTGACCTTTTCAAGGTCACTGAAGGTCAACGAAAGGTCAAATCTGAAATCTAAGGTCAGATTTGAACTTCTGAGAACTTGTAGATGTTTTTAAAAAAAAAATTTGGTCAATTTGGAGCAAGTTGAAAAATTCAAAATGGCCACCAAATTGAAAAATTCAAAATGGCCACCATGTAATTCAGCCAGTATGCCCAAAACCTAATCAGATCTTGGCAATAGTCTGCTCTTGCATCTGTAAAAATTTCAAGTTGAACGGATAAGTGGTTTTCTTGGAATTTTGATGACAAGATTTGTTGAAAAATTCAAAATGGCCACCACGTAGTTTACCCAGCATGCCCTAAACCTAATCAGATCTTGGCACTAGTCTGCTATTGCATGTGTAAAAACTTCAAGTTGAACAGGTTAGCGGTTTTCTTGGAATTTTGATGACAAGAATTGATTTGTAGTCTCAAACTTTGAGAAACTTGGATAACATCATTTGTGACCTAGTTTAATGACCTTGACCTTCGACCTTGAAAATTTAACTTTTTCAGACCTCAGTAGGTGTTTTGTAATTAAGCTAACCTAAATTTAAATCCAAAATATCAATTTAGAAAATCAACTTTTTTGACCTTTTCAAGGTCACTGAAGGTGAATGGAAGGTCAAATCTAAAATCTAAGGTCAGATTCGAACTTCTGAGAACTTGTAGATGTTTTTTAAAAAAAAATTGGGTCAATTTGGAGCAAGTTGAAAAATTCAAAATGGCCGCCAAATTGAAAAATTCAAAATGGCCACCATGTAATTCAGCCAGCATACCCAAAACCTAATCAGATCTTGGCAATAGTCTGCTCTTGCATCTGTAAAAATTTCAAGTTGAACGGATAAGTGGTTTTCCTGGAATTTTGATGACAAGATTTGTTGAAAAATTCAAAATGGCCGCCACGTAGTTTACCCAGCATGCCCTTAACCTAATCAGATCTTGGTACTAGTCTGCTCTTGCATCTGTAAAAATTTCAATTTGAACAGGTAAGCAGTTATCCTGGAAATTTGATGACAAGATTTGGTTTATGTCCCGCCCGCCCGCACGCCCGCCCGCCCGCCCGCCCGCCCAACAGCACAAGACGACAACAATATAGCACTTTTTCAAAGTGCGATAATAATAATTTTTATGTAAGAGCCAAAAATTTCAATAATTTCTAGACAAGGAAAAGAACAAACATGTAAATTGAATTTAAAACAATTTTTAGTGAGTCTAATTGTTTATATTGTACCAGAGGTTATAGATATGGAACTCTTCACTTACCTACTGCAATATTTTCATTGCTTACTTTGGTCTTGTATCTAAACAGTGTCAAAGCAAATGTGGACAGCTGTTGAGGTTGGCTGGATCATAGTTAAGGATCAAACAAAAGGATCAAAGATCAACCTCATGATCGAATGGCATATGGATCAAATGTCATATTATGGTCCAACAAGAAAGTAAGAGCTTTTGAGCCCACTGCAATGGCAACATTTTGACAATTCATTAGATCAAAGAACAATCATGGGATCAATGGAAAAATAGATTATTAATGTGACAAACGTCAAACTGTGACCACCAAGTGTAACAAAATTTAGCTAAGGAACTGAATGCTGACACTGAATGTTGACAACAAATTCTGGTTACAATAAACTGGCTATGTCATTATTATGTTGTCCTTTGTTGACTTTAATGCCTTAAACAATATGCGTCTCACATCTACACGTCATCTGCTACAAGCTACAACTCAGAGAGCTGATACTTTATCTACAAGTATCTTATTGGCATCCCCAGATTTCATCTTAATATGATACCTCCAGTAATTGAGATGTGATAATAATGTTAATTACTTCTCCAGGCATTATCAGCTTACTTTTCAAGATATGAGCAGGTTTGGCTTAAGGTCACCAAAAGCTTCTCATATATATAACAGCATTAACATGCAAAATGTCAACACATCTACCTGCCATTTGTTACAAACATCTTACACAAAAATGTCTGTCACCACTTCTGGAGGTGACATAAAAATGGGCAAGCAATTGGCGACAACTGAATCTACTTGGATCTATAGTATCTATATGTACTAGTATCTGAGATTAGAGGCAGTTAAGTTAGAAGCTTTTATGAGTTACCCATAACAATTAATGTACTGTAGTATGTATGTGTATTAACTAACAGTGCTTTATTTTACAATTACCACATTTTGTATTGATACCTGACTGAGATAATCGAAACATAAAACAGACTTCAAAGATTGCTAGTAACAAGTTATTTGAGTTCTAAGTTATAAAAAATGTGAAGCTGTAAATCAGTAAAATTCCATTCATAACAATATAGATACCTATCTCAACTCGTTTTTAACATTTTGAGCATCATTTCGAAAAAATACCTTTTGTATCACAGAGCTGTACTCTATATCAGATTCAAACATGACCGTGCTCTATTCGAATTTCTCAACCAATCACAATGCAGCATAGCCAATATAGAACGTTCTCTAATTCTCCATAGATGCACGACCATGCTCTATTCAATCTGCAATTTGCATTGTTTTGAGTGACGTCACATCTCAGCTGCACATCTGGGGCTCTGTCCGGGGATAGCTGTTCTTTTTTACTCCCTCCGTAACTACTGTAACTATTTAACTATGGCTGACTTCCTTGTTTTGTATAAAATCTAAAACGGGGAGTAAAATAGAACAGCCCAAACAAATTCTAAAATTTTTCCGGCCGACTTCAGAATCTTGACAGCATGCGTATTCTTCCTTCATGCCCGTTCCACAGACTACACAGCTTTTACTAATTTTTATGTTTGAATCGGAATAAATAATGATAGGCCATTCAATATGGTGAAATTCAGCCTATCATTATTTATTCCTTAAATGTCAGATTAGTACTTCTGCCAGGACAGGTCAGAACTTATGTCATGTGAGGTCAGTACTAATGCCAACATTATTTTTTCAAAGGATACTATCCATCCATTAAGAATCTCTCCACCAATCTGGAAAAACAGAAACGTTCATTATAATTAACATCACAGGAAATATATTCTACACTCCCTTCTATTAGTCCTTTTCTAGAAACATATTACTTGTAAAATGATAAGATTGACCAATGAAACATTACATTTAAGTTCCTGTTTTTGCGCGCTTTGACATCCTCAGTGAAGATTGGTATGAGTTATTTTTGTATATTGTACACCGTACTGACTAATATGTCATTGTGATTACACCAAAGAGTCAATAAAAGATGTATAAATGTACATGAGGCCATTCAAACAAGGAAAGGGGATGATGATGATTTGCAAGCAATTGGGTACAGAATCCATATTTACACTTTGATGTCACCATCATCACATGCTTCTTAAAATACATATTTTTTGGGCATAATATTTTCTGTATTTCATCTTGAATCACTGGATATTCCCTAGTATAATATTCTTATTAATGTCCTGCAAGGGCATATAGAGAGAAATGGTAGCGAGAAAAGAGAGAAAAAGTAGGGTGCACATTTAAATAATGTTAGTCTTTTTCATTATTTTTATGCATATTGTTATACATTTCCAGATCAAATTTCCTCATGATTAACAATATAATTTAGGGGATTTAAACAAGAAAATCTTCTCATAAAATAACTAATCAGATATAATGCCAAGTATTGGAAAGGTAGAAACTGTACTTTGATTAGTCTGTGTTTGAATTCACACACTTGAATGAATTATTAATGGATAAATGTCTCAATATTCTTAATGTAAGGATTGAATAATTCTATGATAGAAAAAATATGCTATAGAGCTGATCTATAGTAAAACATTTCGTGAATGTTCATTTTATTGTCCTCCAACATGATCAAAGAGATATAATCTACAAGGATCCCTCATACATAAGTCATTTCAAAAAACTGAAAAATTGCATTGTTGAAAATGCTTGCACCCTATCAAGGATAAAATTTCCCAAAGTTTCTATCATAAAAGGATCTTGCATTCGATTGAGAGAAAATATGTACCTCATTCATTATATTAATTACAAATGTACATGTATATAGTGACTATTTGATATCTATTTAATACTTACTTAACTTGGCATATTTGTTTTGCAAAACTTGGTCAGATCTCGAAATATGATACACAATTATAAAAAAAAGATACAGATTCTTCATCTGTCATGGATTAGGCTAGAGGGACCATGTCCAGGGGATGGCCATAACATATAACCTTTTCATGATATATATTTTATATTTTTCAGATAGACCTGACAGATCATAAATTATTTTCATCATTTGGGATGATACAGAACAATTTTAGTCATAGTATCACAAACATTTGAGGAACTGTTGGAAATCCAAAAATTGCATGCTTCCTTGATGATAGTAAACAGGGTTCTCACTAGGCTTTTAGACTCTGGAGTCTAATATCTTTAGACCCTCTTGCTCCAGAGTCTAATAGCTTTTTCAGAGTCTAAATTGTTTTTTTCCGAGTTTTACATTTTTGTCATATTATTTGTGGTAAAACTTTTGAGAATTCCTATAGTTTGTTTTAAGTTGCTATAGCTAGCCTTTTAACAACAAATTTTAGATGTTCTCTGAGGGAAATAAAAAATATGACATAAGTGTAATGTTTATTAGGAGACATAGGGCTATTTATTGACATAGCAACAATATAACCGAACCTAGATCTTCATGTTAATTGAAGCATCAATAGATTGTTTTGGAAGTGAATTCATACAATTCTCTAATAATTTTAGTAGAAGTAAAGACATCAATAGACGCATTTTTCAATGATTCCAGGCTCAATCTTTGATAATTGAGTCAGCTCTAAAGAATACATAATCTAGGGGCTTGAAAGCCAATGTCTAGAACAACAAGGATATGGTCAAGTTTTTGCATCTATCATACCGGTATATGCATCGACTGGGACTAAAGAATCGCACATGAAACTGAAACACTCAGAAATCAATTCCTTAGTAGCACCATGGGTCTAATTGAAAGCCCATGGTAGCACTGTGTAGTGTGTAGCTGCTTCCCAGCTTTGATGTACATGTAAGTCAAAACTCTAATAGTCTAACTCATTTATCGTCCATCATGTAAAAACTTTTACGATACATCTTGATCAATTTCTATTTGAAATAGCTTGAAACCGCTGCTTACTATACCAAAAGAATGGATATTACCACACAATTAACTCCCCCCCCCCTTTGTTGCACTGACTGTTCGCCTAGTGTTACAAACACATTTGGTGACTCACACAAGTGAAGGAAGTGCACAACAGTTACACATTGAGAGAAGAAATTCAGAATATGAAAGCTACCTTTCAATATATATTTAACAAAAATGAATAAAGACATTGTTGGCATTCCTACACGATCGACAGATGTAGAAATATTTCATCAAATTTATGGGCAAAAAATGAAAATAAAATTTGATTTTTTCACATCAAATTAGATTTCCCAAATCCAGTAGATTAGATTCCTCATTTTATGCTCCCTAATGATACTTAAAAACACTCACTTTGATTTGCCTACTGCACTGTCTCCTAAACATATTACTTTCACTTTATTATCACCATCTTCAGATTTTGAATCGTAGTCCGGCTGAGAACCGTCCGCCATTTTTTTGTCTAGAAAATATGTGGCGCGTTGCACCATGGGATATTTTCCTAAATAGGTCAATATTGAAAAGGGGATTCCCCATCGAAAATGAAAGTACTTATCTAAGTATCAAATAGTTTACTTGGAAAATGATGAACTAATTTTTGAAAGAAATGTATATTGTGGACATGTCAGAGATCTTATGGAGCTCTAACCAATCCATCTATGTCAATAATCTGGAAACGGCTAATAAGACATTCTTAAAAGCAGATATATAATTTAGTGATAGAATTTGAAAATAATATAATTTAAACAAAAAATACAGATGTCACCCAGTCTGTCATTTGTCCTTACACAGATTATCAATGAAAAAACACAAGGTTGAACTTTCAAATGTTGGAAAAACAGACACTTTCTAAACAAAGATAAAATACCTCAATGATACTTTTCTTTAGATGATTATTTGTTTAAACATTTTGGATATGGAGTTGCAAAATGAATAACATTTTCCTTGGTCCTTGTGTAATTTCAAAATGTCTAGCAGCATAGATTGTAGGATGAGACTGGAAAGAATTAGGATAAAAACAAGCTTTATTTATTGTATTTGGATATCAATGGTCATCTCAGAAGACACATCTCATCAAAAAAGCACAAAAATATGACTTTAGCCCACTCTAAATATTATGTTTAACCTTGGAATAATGGTTTAGTATTCCCAGGTTTAACATTGATTTCTAGGAAGTGTCTTTGGAAAGCTTCTATGTACCAAATCAAATTATGTTAAGTTATTTGTTTTATGCTATTTAACATTAAGCAGTATCTGATCATATGTAAATATTTATACATAGCATCATGTCTTGTACTCATGTCCTTTATGTTATATTGAAGTTTAAGCTTAGACAATCTCAGATTTGGCCTAATTGGCAATAATTCCATAAAGTTGAAGTTTTTTTCAACTTGCATCTTGTCCAATTTGACTTAGAACCAAAACATTTGTGCATTCTTAAAATGTATCATCTTCAATGGTTATACTGTTTCTTTACAAAGCATTTTAACGATAAGCTTTTTAACAAAGGAGTTACAATAAGCTAGTAAAATAACATGTATTAATTTTTGTTAAAAGGAAAACATGTTTAAAAATGTTTCCAATATTTGTTTTTATTGTTGTTATTTTCTTTTGATTCTATTGTCTGTATTGTTCACTAGCTGATTTATTTCTCAATTTTATCTTTTTCGTGTAAAATCACTTAAATGTGAAATGCTTCTAAAAGAGAGCTGTTCAGTTGTTGAACGTAGTTTCGGTTTCGCTTTGAAATTGATTTGGGGCTTGTCATCTTTTCAGCATCCAATGAAATCCTGTCATTGATTCACTTAGAATGGCGATGAAAATGCTCGATGCCTGTAATTACTAGAAGAAAACGTTATTATGGATAAACATAAGCTTAAAAGACATTCCAGGTATGTTCTAGACTAGCCTCATTATCGATGGTTCAATTTGCAACAGTATTTAGATTTCCGTAACTCGAGATTAGGGAAAGAATCGATGTTTTATGATGAAATTTTGCCTTTTTTTAAAAATATTTCACCGAGTGAAATTGATGAATTTGATTGAATCCTAGAAAGCTTATGTAACACAGTCTGAATGTGTAAAGTGATGCCTATTTAACAGTGAACATGGTATTTAGGTCGACAACAATGGCTAGATTTACCTCTTTCAAAAGCTGCTGACTGGTCTTATCAGCCACTGCAGAATCGGCTAAAACTGAAATCAGCTGCTTACTTTATCATCATCATCATCATCATCATCATATTTAGGAGGGTGAGGTGTAATCCTGTGTTATCCTCCCTTCTGATCATTTGTTTGTTACATGACATATTTATTGACAGTTTTAATTTCTTTGGTATTTTATTTCCCAAAGACAGTTAATTGTGTTGATTATTTTTAAAAGTGACGGGTTGTATCAAATGTGAATCAAAACATGGACAGAATCTAGTGTAGTGTAAACTGGTCATCCTAGGTCTGTCTTCTACATGTCTGGGTGGTAGTGGGAGTCGACCTTTGCTTTAAAATCATCTAGCGTCAGGGCAGATACAGCATTTTCTGGGAGGTTGTTTCAGTCGTCTACTATGCGCTGACTGAATGACCCTTGTCGTAGGGCCAGATTACATCGACCTTTAAAGAATTTCTGGCTGTGGCCTCTTGTGCTGGTGTGGCTTGGGGTAAAGAAGTGGGATGATTCTATCTTGTCTATGCCGTTCATTATCTTGTAAACTTGGATTAAATCTCCTCTTTTCCTCCTGTATGTCATTGGGAATAGGTGTAGTTGTTTCAGTCGCTCTTCATAGGGTAGATCAGACATGCCAGTGATGAGTTTGGTGGCTCGCCTTTGGATTTTCTCGATCTTGTTGATGTCCATTTGGTATCTTGGGTTCCAGGCTACTGTGCAGTATTCTAGGTGGGGTCGGACAAGGGTTGTGTATAGGGGGAGGAATATATCAGCGTCTTTATTAGAGAATGTTCTTTTGATTGCACCCAAGATCTTATTGGCTTTGTTGACACAGTTGGATACATGGTCGTGAAACTTTAACTCCAAATAGCCCTCATTTCCATCCTCAGTTTGGGAAAGTCTGTAAGTTCTGTGCCAATCTGAACTGGTCTGCATTCTCAAGTGGATGTTTTCTACTGAGAAACAAAAATGGCCGTTTTGATAGAATTCACAACTTATAAGCCCGGTATACACCAATGGGGCAAGTTGGGACCTCCATTGACTTAACATTGCGTGAGACCACGTGGGACTTCTTTGGATTTTGCCCCATGGAGTCTGTCCTATCTTGCCTCATCGAGAATGAACATGTTCATTCTTTCCATGGGGCATCGTGGGATTTTTGATCACATGACATGTTGTGTGAAGTCCAACATATACCAATGGGGCACGGTGGGATTTGATGGGACTCCGGGGGGCTTGATGGGTCTCCATGGGGCACGATGGGGCAAAGTCATCAAGGTCCCATGGGACTTCATGGGGCAAGATGGGACTCGATGGGGCAAGTGGGATTTTGCCCCATTGGTGTATACCAGGTTTAATGGCGTTTTATATTCTTGATTGCTTTGAAATATTTTATTCAGTAATGACCAAATTGTACAATAAAATTGTTGAAATGATAAAATGATGGAGCTGATGAACTTTAAAAAATAAGAATGTTTCTATGTCAATTTTCAATATTTCGATTCAAGTTAAGAAAAGATCAAGTAAGTTTCCAAAACAACTGAACCTGCCTCACTTCACTTTAAACAGATATGTTAGGAAGCCAAACTGATTGCTTCATACCATATTTTGTAGGTAGTAAATGAACAGCATACACACATGTAATTTACAATCATGTTCTTAATTCCTGCTTTCTGAACTTCCAGTGAGAATCTGGATGACATCCCTATGCCAAAAACAACGGATGCAAGGGTCAAAATAATGAGACATAAAAAGGATACCACGGATAAGAATTCTGATAAAAATGACACAAATCCTAAAGAGGTAAAAGAAGAAAGAAGTGTTACAAGTTCTGGTCACAAAGATGATACTAAAGGAAAAGATGTAGAAATGAAAGTTGTTGATGATTTATTTCAGGAATTTTTGTCTAAAAAGTTGGAAGATATAGAAAAAAATCCAACCATCAAAATTGAATCGGAAACAAAATCATCTAACTTAAAAGAAACTGATAAAGTTAAAGTAAGTAAACATAAAAACCCACCCAGCAGTAAGGTCAGAGATAATGGCCATTCCAGCAGTAGCAAAGAGCCTGATGTTAAGAAAGAGATCACAAAAGATGGTCACAAATCTTCGAAAGATAAACATTCTGAATCTGAAACAAAAAGAAAAGACAGTAAAGAGAAGAGTAAAAAACATAAAAAGCACAAAAGTAAAGACAAATCTAGGAAAAAGCATAAAAAGGATAAAAAGCATAAACATAAAAAGTCACATAAATCTGACAAAAAAACTGTTGCTCCACCAGTGAAAGTGCCATCTGTGATGGCCTTGGAGTCTGATTCCAGCGATTCAAGCTCAAGTAGTGAAGGTAATGCCCAAGATGACTCATTTTATAAATCATACAACGAACAATTAGGAAAGACCAACTTAGACATCCCTACTATAGACATCAAGAAAACTGTAACGTTGAATAGAGAAAATATTACAATAAAAGTGAAAAATGATCCTTCGGATGAACCACAGAAAAGAACAATTGAGAAGGGAGGGGATACAAAAGAAATAAAATCTCTTGAGTCTGATAAAGAAAAGGAGCAAAGGTATAGGAATAGTATACTTAGCAGACTAGGTAGAAAGAAAGACAATGACTCTGAAGCTGTTCTAACTTGCAAACTTCCCCCACCAGATTCCACACCTAAACTCAGTATTCATAGCAGGCTTGGAAAAAAGCCAGACTCTGTAAAAGAAAAATCACATAGAATAGGTGATATACCAAAATTAAAGTCTGATACTAAAGAGAGACCCAAGACACCCCCTTGTAGTAAAAGTACCAAGAAGCAGCATAGTGATGATGATGATACAACAAAGTCACTACCAGAGGCAAAGCCCAGTATCTTGAGTCGACTTGGTAAGAAACCAGATGTAGAAACGAATAAGGCCTCACCTTTTGCTGTGCCAAAGATACCAGTAGAAAGGGTAAAAAAGGATTCTCTATCAAAAATTGATGAAAAACCACCATCCAAAGAACAGTCAGTTGTGAATAATCGTGAGAGAAAAGTTGGCGACAAGAAAACTAGTGTCATACATGTTGTTGGCGTCAAATCTAAAGTTCCATCCTTGCCTACTATGGTTCCTCATCCCTCTGAAGCCTCAGCCCCCACCAATGGCAAACAAACTAGTGCTGAGGTCAGTGCTTCAGTAGATGCATTCCTGAACTCACTAGGTTCTGAACTTACAAAAACGTCAACTGGAAATGTGTTTGAGACACCTCAGGCTCCAGCTGCTACAGTGAAGAAGCCATCAACAGGGTTTAAGATAGGTCTGAAGTTGTCTGATACAACGGCTGAACTCATATCTTCAGGGACTATTGTGGAGAATGACCCCAAGAAACAAAGTTTAGAAGAAGGTAAAATTAAGCAAGTAAATTTTATTCAGTGTCTAGTACTGAGGGAAACATTCTTGCGAATCTGTATGTAAAAAGAGTAATAATGAAGCTGATTACTGTACTGGCCTTGCATCAAGTTTTTGATTATGTATTGATCATTTCTTTACCCGATAAATAAACATACTCAGCCAAGGTCCTTCCTGTTTTTTTCAGGAAACAAGAATAATTGGCATTTTTAGGCAAAATTTTGAGCTTAAAATAGCACACCCATCACCCTCTCTGAATTATAGCCACCCTCTTGATTAAAGCTGTTTTTTACCCCGATTCTCCACCAACCTATGTAACATGGTCATATGAGAGCAGTGTTCGCGTTGACGCCGTTTTTTGCCATTTTTACGGAAATTTCAGAAAGTTGGACGTAAAAATCAAAATCAACTTACGTCCCTAGGACGCAAAAATTATAAACTGCTTCAAGATAACTTTTACTGCAGCACAGTAGCGGTGAAACATGATTTTCATCAAGATTTTCAAACTCACTACCTTGATATACGAGCAATGATCCAGGTATATTTATATCGACAAATCTGATTGGCTATCATGACTACCGAAGATTAACAGGGTTTCCAGTATGAGACATGGATTTTGATTGGTTCCGATATATTCCGGAAAATGCCGCAATCGAAATGGAAGATCAAAACATACAATATTGCAGAAATCCCCTGTGGTTCCCCACAAATTGAAAAGATTGTTTTTCACGATTATCTTTATCATTTCCACTAGAAACCATTATGATCTAATGTTATACATCAAGATAAATGTTTAATGATAGATCGAGGTTTTTCATCTAAAAGTCTTCAGAATAAGGAGAAATGTTTATAATAAAAAGAAGCAAAAGTTCACGACCTTGACATGACCTTCAAGATCGCAGGTTTGTAAAATGTGAAAACAAAACTCTTAATTTGAGCATTTCCTTTATTCATTTCGGACTATTTTGGTATAACATTACTTAAGAATTGTGTAAAAAGGACCCAGTGATAGATATTTATCGGGAGGATGCATCAAATTACAATATATGTCATTTTTATCCCATTATAGTGTAAGCACTCTATTATCGCCCACTTTATTTTCACTTTCACAATATTTCTTGAACTTTGTGAAGAAATAAGAGGGACGCAAAAAAATAAGATGGGGACTCAAATTTTTCAAATGGGTTGCGTCCCTGGGACTCAGAAATTTTAATGGCCAGCGCGAACACTGTGAGAGAGCTGAAAAAGCATCTGATTGGATGCAGTGTTGATCTTTTTTTCTTGTAGGTGAGCTGACGCCAGATACAGAAGATGAATCCAGTTCTAGCTCAGATTCAGAATCAGGTTTGCTTCTTTGTTTGAATAAGTCTAATGCACATAATCAAGAAGTTTAAAGAATTGTATTAACATGGTAATCTTCAAAAATGAATGATATTGTAAAATAAAATGCAGTGATCTCCCCAGCATTAAAGCAAGTGGGCGCTGCCCCCATCTTAGATTTTGAAAATGGGCTTGCGCCCACCTGAAAATCCATTTGCACCCACTTCAAAATGAGAAAAATCATGAAAAATTGGCATATTTTGACCAATTATGGTCTGAATTGTGAAAATGAGAATCTTGCACCCACTTAAAAAAATCCTTTGGCCATCACTGAAATGACTGTTATTTGTCCCTAACCCAAACATGTTTATAATCAAGAATTTGAGATTGTACCATTCTCTATACAAATTCATATTAAGTTTGACATTGATCTTCATGAAATGTTTCCAGGTTCAGTGAGCCATGACAATGGTTTCTATGGCGACGGCGAGATAGACTCTGATGGTGAACCTGTTGACAAGAGAAAGAAACGTAAAAAACATCGCAAGAAGAAAGACAGGAAGGAGAAAAAGGACAAAAAAGAGAGGAGTAGGGAACGGAGCAGATCTAAACGTAAAACTTCCAGGGATAGGTGAGAAGTTGTTTTCATACCATATATGGAGTGATCTATCCCAGATCTCACCTGGATCTTTTTGTGACAAGGAAACACAATGCACAACTCACACTAGATGTACATATTAAAAATCATAACATTAATATTTGTTCTTGTACCTTGTATATGTCAATTTTAATTTTTAAAAGCCTATTCGTGAAAACTTTGATGCTTTTCTGACCTGAGATTTATTGAAACAATGTAATTCATTGAATTATTAATTGCTGTAGGTCAAGGAGTCCCAAGCGGTCTAAGCGGTCATCTTCCAAGGAGAGGCGGTCATACGACAAGGACAGTGGAGTGTGGAGAGACTCGGATAGAACAAGACGGCACTCTAGGGAAAGAGACTACGATTCATCAAGAAAGAGGAGGTCAGAACTACATTAAATAACAAATAATATTATACTGTATAATACCCTTGAGGCTTCTTTCAATAAAGGGAAAATTAAATAAAAAATAATATTATACTGTATAATACCCTTGAGGTTTCTTTCAATAAAGGGAAAATTAAATAACAAACAATATACTGTATAATACCCTTGAGGCTTCTTTCAATAAAGGGAAAATTAAATAAAAGATAATATTATACTGAATAATACCCTTGAGGCTACTTTCAATAAAGGAAAAATTAAATAACAAATTATATTATACTGTATAATGCCCTTGAGGCTACTTTCAATAAAGGGAAAATTAAATAACAAATTATATTATACTGTATAATACCCTTGAGGCTTCTTTCAATAAAGGGAAAATTGAATAAAAAATAATATTATACTGTATAATACCCTTGAGGCTTCTTTCAATAAAGGGAAAATTAAATAAAAAATGATATTATACTGAATATTACCCTTGAGGCTACTTTCAATAAAGACCATTTGACCATTTGCTACCAGATTTTCATTGAGATAATGTTACAAATTGATAATAGAGATAGCGAGAAAGGAGATATGATAGTTGTCACAATGCTTTATAGATGGCATAAGTGTACTTTTGCTTCAAAGTTTAATATTCTAACCCTGTCCATAAATCTGGTGTTTTGTTGATGTTAAAAATGAAATAAAGTAGAAGTTTGGCACATAAACATAACTATATGTGCAAAGTGTCAAAAAATAAAAACAAAACAAGTTTCATGAGAACTATATCTAGAAAAATATCTGTAATTGAAGACTGAAATATCCATTTCTAATGGCAAAAAATGAGTTCAATTCAAGAAAAATCGTGGATTGATAATTTCTTTCAGAAAAAATCAGGAATTTCTCAGATCTTCCTTGATCTTCTAATGTTTTCATGAGATGAAATACATTCCTGCAAAAGTCAAGGTGGACTTCATGCTGATGTAAACAATTTAAATGATGTTATATTAATCATCATAAAGAAACATTATCTAATAGACTGACATAAATATGTGTTTTCCACAACCAACTGGAGATATTTCATGACTAAAGTACAGTGTACTCATTATTTGCCTGATTTCAAAGGAATATTGTCGTTAGCTATCATATGATAAGTTCATATTGTAGGTTGAAAAAGGTCATTGACACCATATATGAAACATTCAAAAAGAAACCGCCAGGAAAACCTCTCGCCATAATAATCTAGGTAGAGTTTACTCAGATGTTTCCTGCTGTAAGGTTTTAAGGTTGTAAGGTTTTAAGGTTTCCTGCTTCAAGGTTTTAAGGTTTTCTGTTGTAAGGTTTTCATAAATGGAGAAATGTATACAGCTCAATTAGAGAAACACAAACAATCTGTATGTCATACACATTAAGTAACTCATCAATACTCTCCACTGCATCACCTTGAATTTAAAATCCATCATTCTATCTATCATTCTATCAATCAATCTACCACCCATGAGTACTCCAGGCCTATAGGAGGAAAGTATGTTTTATCATACAGACAACTCCTTGATGCTTCCGATAACCAGATAGCTCATAAACTGTTCCGCAATCTCTCAGTTTATTTCTTAAGATTAATGTCTGTAAATATTGGAACACCTTCCACCTGTTTAGATTACAAGCCACTTCACTTTTAGTAACCGATCCACAAAGAATGGATTCTTCTTTCACAGGGCGTGCATAAAGGGTTAATTCAGCTGGCTTGTTTTGATCTTTCCTGTCCGATATTAAATCATCGTGTAACTTTACAGTTAAGACGTTACCTATTTCTGATGATTTAAAGCTTGTAACATTCATTTGTACATGTTTGTGAAGAAAGATCTGAAGATTTTAGTGAATGGTTTCTCATATATTATATATTATACAAATGATCACGTGGAATGGGAATTTTTAGGGTGTGTCACATGGGGAAAGATATTGTGGTTAAAGTACCATTTGCATTCCTTCGACTTTGCTTCTTAAAAGAGAGCTTCGTCTTCAATTTCAGTTTACAATAAAAATCTGAACTCACCTAGCCATTCAAAGCTTGTCGTCGAAATATGGATGATTTCTATTATATGGTTATTTCCTCTGACGTCATCGCAAAGTTAATGAGCAAGCATTTAGCATGTGTTGCTTCCAGCTCGCTGATTGGTTGAGTAAAAGATCAGTGTAATATGTTTGAAATGATTTATGACCCAGGCTGCTGCACGCATAGGTTGTGTTGTGGGGTCGGGGCTACTAAACTGTAATTAGGTCAGTAGCCATTTGCCCAAAAGCCGCTTAAAAAGGGTAGTTTAATTTCCAAAATACCTTATGGATAAATTATATACTGTTGGAAAGCTTATACATGTATACTCAGGTGTATGGAGCCAGGACTAAATAAGGCTTCAGAGTTGTACGTTTTTTAGGAAAAGCTATTGTAGCAGGTGCTTGTTACTAACTGGGCTATAAACATGATTTTCACGTTTTCGTCTATAACTCTATCAGTTAAATACAGTATAGTCCATACTAGGCAGAGGGTAGTTTGTAACTAGACTCTGTACGCAGGGTATGGTTAAAGGTGCTTGATTAAGGAGCTGAGTTAACCTTGTTTTCACTTCACCAACACTTGTTTATTTCAAATGTTGAAGCTTTATTTTGTCTGTTGAAAACAAGATATGACAGTTTGTTCCTTTTGTTTAGAATCTGTTAGTAACTCTTACATGGGAAAATGGAAGTTTCCTGTTTGTTAATAATTCCTGTCGGAACATCTCATATGTGAGAAATGTTTACCAGGTATGCTTATATAAAACTGACGTTTGCTTACATCTGACTGTTATTAAAATCCATAATGAACATCTCTCTGTTAAAAAGGATATGAAGAATAGAGAACTAAAAATACAGAATTAAATCTCAAGTTTAAGTCTCAAGTTTAAATTCTATAGATAATCAGCTAAAATCTTAGATAAAGTTGTAAGTTGGCATTAGGGAAAATTATTTTTTGCATGGGTTAACTGAAAAATACATTGTAATTGAACAATGAGAGATGTTCTTAGTTCCACATCAGGTAAAATCTCATGAAGTATCTCTTAGTAGAGTTAAATGTTACAGGGAACCAAAGACTAATTGCATTTTCATTTGGTTTTCTGAGGCCAAAACAAAATATTATTAAGTATTAACCTCAAGAATTATGATATAATTATGTAATTTAGCAGGAGTGGTGTTCAATTTATGGTGTTGAATGTTTTTTTGGGGTGCACATATTGTAATGGTGAATGTTTTGTTTGGGTGCACATGTTGGGACATTTTCCGATGTTGATATCTTGTTGGGATGTATAATACAATTTGTGTTGGTAAATGTTTTATGAGGGTATATGATTTATGGAGTCACATATTTGTGTGGGTGTACATTTTGTTACATTGAATATTTTGTGAGGGTGTGCATATTTTACATCTGATGTGCCCTGCCCTTTCTCCCATTGAGATCTAATCAAATGTTTTACAGAACTTTATTTTCGATAGACGTGGCAATATCACGGATGGCAGAATCCTAGCCGAGTTTATCATTTTCCCAACATGGTATTTGCCTCAGAGGGCCAGAAAGTGAGAGTCTAGCTGTGTTTGGAATCATACTTCAGATCAGGTGTTTAATGCCGTATTTCCCTTCAATGTTCAATACAAAAAAGTGTATTTTTTCCATTTGATATTTACAATAAATTGTCTTCATCAAGGAAAACATGCACCATGGCATTTCATACAACTGAGGTAATATACATATTACATTTTCTCATATGACATTTGATATGGTTAAAGTACATTTTGCATTAAGGGAAGTCTAATAAAATGTTAAGAGGCTGAATGTTTCAGAGTTTCATCAAGTTCCCTGTTCACTGTAGGGTGTTTTCTTATAAGATTGAGTAGAGCAAGATTATATCTGGATTTTGTCTAATCAACAAATCTGATTTGGATATTGCATAATGTGACTGAACGAGACATTAATTAATTGATGCTACATTTTTATTATGTCACCACCAGAAATGGTGATATATTGTTATAGTCTCCAACATTTTGTTGATGGTGCACGGCAGTTGGTGTTTGGTGGTTGGTGTTTGGCATTCTGGGGTCAGTATGTGTAACAAATGGCAGGTGGTGACAATTTGTGTATTAATGCCTTGTATCCCTTTTCGATAAGGTACAGGGTTCCAAGTATAAATTACTAGAGGTGTCACACCGACTCGAATCTCGGGTCAGAAGGTGTCTCTTAATTCTAATGCAGACTAAGATTCGTCTCACTCAATTATTTCACAATCCATGTTTGTATTGCATCTGGTATTTGAGTTTCAGATAAGGTGTGGGATATAGTTAAGAGTCACCTGAAATCAGCACCTGCATATTTCATTACCACTTAAAAGTCTCAAAAACATGAACTTGGAATTCTAATGATGTGATTTATTATGAAGTTTAACAGGAGAGAGTATTCTGGCGTGTGCCAGGTTTAATTGTGCTTCAGCTAGTCGACCAATACAATTATTTCAAATAAAACCAAATGCTGTGTGAGACGGAAGTAATTGTAAATGGAAATAATAGTAGAATTCATCTGCTAGAAAACATCCAGAGTTTAGTTATCTAGTTATTTTGACTAAACAGTAACTGTGTCTAATTATCTTTGTAAATATAACATAAAACTTCTAAGAATTTCTGTGGAGATAAATATTAAAAGCAAAAAGCATCTATAAATCTAATTAAACCATATGGTGGTGTGATGCTACCTAGGGGGGCATTTCAACATGTAACTCTTTCCAAATGGCAATGTTTTTATTGACCTTATCCAGGCTTATGATCTATATTATGTAGTTGGCATAGTCTAATCAGCCTTATAGTGCATCTCAGCTATGACCACTTATGTTTTGATGGTGGATATGCTTGATTTTTGGACAAATCTGATTCATTTTCGGTAATTTGACTATGAATGCCAGAATATTTGACAAAATTTAAACTGATAAAACTCAGACATA